TCCTTTCCTTTCCTTTCCTTTCCTTTCCTTTCCTTTCCTTTCCTTTCCTTTCCTTTCCTTTCCTTTCCTTTCCTTTCCTTTCTCATCATGTCAATGCAGGCACAGTTCCACAACAGTTTTATATATAGAATGTAACTATAACTTGAAAATATTATCTGATATACTGATGTTATCCAAAGTCAAGACATGAATTGGATGAGAAAACTACTGTTTCTCATAGTAATGTGTTTTTAAGGTAATACAAATTTATCTTTTAATTCTTGTTAGACAAAACATCTGATAAATAATTGGGAATAGAACTGTAGCTCATGTTAGAGATCACATAAATTACAGACAGGATACCAGAAGTTCATGTTAAAAATCAGAGTTTTGTTTTCAGTTCACATCACAGCCTACTTTGTCCTAGTTCTGCACAAAAATAAGCATGTTCCCACAATGTACTGTTATATTGGTGTCCTGTAATATATCTCTACAGATAAACTAATGTGTTTGGGGACACTATATGTTGATCGTTGCATCTTTGCTTTGTCATGAGACAAGGTATTTCCTCTCTGTTTACCAGATATAAAGCTTCTTGTTATTGTATTAAAAATGGATGATTACATTAAAAATGTGAAGCTTTTTGCATGCTGAACATTCTGCTTAAATTATTATTTAAAATAAGTAGGATCTAAGGATTACCTCTTGAGCTCCCTGTTCTTTCCTAAATAGGTTTTCAAAAAAAAAAAAAAATCATCATAGAAAAATTTCCATTTCCAGTGCAGCTGCTAGTTGTTGCTGTTCTTTTGTAAATAGAGAATGTTTGCCCCACTGCACTAAATAGCCAATAGCTTCTAAATATATATATGGCGTATATATTTTCTTAGATAATTACATATTATTTTCTTAGAGAATATACAACTAAAATGTATATATTCACCACAGCATATATCGTTCCTCTTGGAAAGACAGCTGTACGTAAATAGAAGCTCAGATAGAGAGCGTGGTTCTATTATAACTATTATAACTAGGGAATAGATATCTACATTTATAGAGGTTCCTCTTATTCCCACCCATATGATATCTCTGAAGACTTTTTAAAAATGCCGTAGAAATTATAGCCCATGGAGAAAGTTTTCAAAATGGAGAATGATTTGTTTCTTTGCCACGCTTGACTTTGGCGATACTTATGCAGCATCATTATTTATATTCCTTTTTTAAAATGTCTTAACTGTTTTCTGCACAATATTTGAGGCAATCAAAACCCGATAAAGCTGTAATTTAGAAAAATAAAATGGACACTCAAATGAATCTTTCTGTGTGCATGCACATACATTATGTGGCTTGAATCTTTCCAGATTTTTTAAAATCCAATTTGGATTGTGAGAAAATATACATTTGGCAATTGTAGGAGAATCATCTTGGCCAAAGACTCTGCTATCAAAACTGTAACTTTGGATAGAATTACTTCTTACATGGTTATGAGTGTAAAAAAGCTCAGCAAATGCTATGTCATTAAGGACAGAGAAAACACTAAATTTTTTCTGTGCTAGTCAGCACTTTCAATACCTCTCCTTGCCTCCCCTTTTTTCCATAAAATGTTAAGAGCCTGCTTGCCTACATTTGGAAGGAACCTCATGGAAGAAAAGCATTTGTGTATAATCTGCAGAGGAGAAGTAGCAGATAGAAGAAGAATTAGTCACACAACTATTCAGCACACATTGGTGGAAGCGAGATTTTCTTTTTTCTCTCTAAGTTGTGACAGCAGTTTATCTTTTTTTTTTTTTTTAAGAAATTACATTAAACGTCCTTTAGGGTTAATACTTCAGTTTTCCAACACAACCTACTTGAAAAAAGCAAAGGGATTTCTCCAATCATTTTTAACAATGGCAGTTGAAGGAGGTGCTAGAGCAGTGTTTCTCAACCTTAGCAAAATTAAGATGTGTGGACTTCAATTCCCAGAATTCCCCAGCCAGCATGCTGGCTGGGGAATTCTGGGAGTTGAAATCCAAACATCTTAGCATTGTCAAGGCTGAGAAACATGCTCTAGAGACTGCAAAACACAAGCATCCTTAATGCTGTGGTCTCATCCGTGCCAACTGTAGGTGGAAGGCAATTTTGTGTAGGGTCCTCAGTACTTATAAACAACAGCATGTTGAACAAATGGGAACAGTAATGATCAAGCAGATGCAGACAGAATGGCGAAGGATGGGAAGAGGGGCAAACAGGTAGGGGTGTCCACACAGAGGCCCCTAAAGTCAGAATGGCAGCTGCAACTGCAACTGCACAAATGAAGCCCTGCTCCATTTTTTACAAGTGATGTGCCGTATGAAAAAAAAAAAGGACAGAGCTTTGATCGGGTGTTCACAACTGCCCTGTGGACTTTTGGACCCCCCTCTGTTGATGCCCCTGCAGACAGGCCTAGCTGTATAGTCTGGGCTGTAATGTCAGCATGCCTGGCGGACATTACTCATTGCGGCATTTTTTCCTTTTAACTTAACGTAGATATACTTGATAGATGGAACAGGTGGCCGGGTGGGCAGGTACCTGTTATTCTTTTCACTTTAAAGATGTAGCGCCCTTTTTAAAACAACAGCAACAGCTGAGTGATGCTTTTTCCCAAGAAATATGTTCAGCATCCGCTCAGAGCTGGCAAACATTGATTTGTTTATCTGTTTCCCCATTATACCAGAAATGCAGAAACAGCTGTAAAGCACAGAATGGTGGAAAAAGGGAGAAGTCATACAAATGGCCAGCTAAAGCCCCCACTGGTCCAGTAAGCCCAGGATCTGAATTTACTTAGCTCCACCACTAATGGACCATAGATTTCTTACTGTAGATAACCTCATGAGATCATCAGGTCAGAACGATGGCTCTGGGGACAGTGTAACTTAACCTTTCAACCTCCTGCAGAATTTTCCCATTTTCTCATAAATAGAATTTTCCCATTTTATTTATGGTTTGCTTCTGCAAAGTCTAAAACTATTTGGGAGAGGAATTGAATCTGGACAAGTAGG